CTGTGGATAGATCTAACGTTATTCTGGTGTTCCTCCCTCTGTACGTAAGGAATCTCTTCCCCCTAACTGCCCTTAAGATGGTTTCCTTGGTTCTAAGATTCGCGAGTTTTACTATTACATGCCGGGGTGTTGGCCTGTTTTCCTTGATCTTAGGAGGGGTCCTCTCTGCCTCTAGGACTCGAATGTTTGTTTCATTCCCCAGATTAGGGAAGTTCTCAGCTACGATTTGCTCAAATACACCTTCTAGTCCTCTCTCTCTCTCCACTCCCTCCGGGATTCCAATTATTCTGATGTTGGAACGCTTCATGGTGTCACTTATTTCTCTGATTCTATTTTCATGGATTCTGAGTTGTTTTTCCATGGCCTCCTCTTTTCCCTTTTTATCTATTATATTGTCTTCCAGGTCTCTTATTCTCTCTTCTGCCTCAGTTACCCTAGCTGTTAGATTATTTAGATTGGATTGGATCTCATTGATAGCATTTTTAAGTTCTGCCAATTCACCTTTTATTTCTGCCCTTAGAGACTCTATGTTGCCATTAATTGATTTCTCCATTCTAGCCATTGTCTTCACAATTGCTAGCCTGAATTCCATCTCCGACATCTTGGTTATATCTGCATCCATTTGTAAATCTGCAGCATAAGTCATAATCTCTGAGTCTTTTCTATTTTGGGGGCTCCTCCTCCTAGTCATTCTGTTGATGGGTGTTTGAGGGAATGTAGAGAGTCCAAATTATTGACCAGAACCCAAGCAAGATGCACCTGTTTTCTTGGGACCTTAGGGTTGCTGGCCTCTTCTTTAACCAGCCTGTCTTTTGGGGGAGGGGTCTGCCACACTGTTACTCAGGCAACCCTGTTTGGGCGGAGTTGCCCTGCTCTCCCTGTGGTGGGGATGGGCTCAGCGGGAATCAGTTTTTGGGGCTTTTGTTCTCTGGCGGCTTTCCCTGGCGGCTTTCCGCGTCTCTTCCGCGAGTCAGAGCGGAAGAGACCCTCTGCCTCAGAGCAGAGAGATCGCAGTCTGTTCTTCAGTGAGCTCTCCAGGCCACACTATCTCCATTTCTGTCCGTGCTGCTATAAACTGCAGCGTCCTGGGTTGTGCGCCCCTCCGCGGCGCTCCCAGTCCTGCCTCCAGGTTGGGGCACATCTCTGCCCTTTGTGCTTCTAAAACCGCCAGCCGCTCCCAGTATGTGCGTGCGACCCCGCCGCTCCGGGTTTCCGTCCTGGGCGCTGCAGTTCGCAGGCGCGACCCCGCCACTCCGGGTTTCCACCCCGGGGGCTGCCCTAAAGTCCTTTCCCCGCCACTACCCGTCTGCGAGTCTGTGCCCGTCCGCAGCGCACAAGGCTGTCACTCACCGGCGGTGTAGGATCCCCACGGCCAGGCTCCCTCCGCTGCCGTTTATCCTCCGATATCTGCCCGCAGAATTAGGGCTCCCCGCTTCCTACCTCAAAACCAATCACCTGCAATATTCTGTTTGTATAGATCCAGATCTTCTTACATCTCAGGCTGGTTTCGTGGGTGCTCAGAGTGGTCTGGTAGATATCCAGCTCAATTCCAGGGACCAGTTGAAATAGGGTCCCCTATTCCTCCTCCATCTTTCCGCCAAGGAATGAGTCTTGAAGCTGATAATTTCTTGATAATCCTATCACCTAGAAAACTAATAGATTTTTTTTCTGCCTTGTCATCCTTGGTAAATACAGTATGTCTTCATCCAAGTGAATTTTTGGTCATATTACTTGTATTAAAGCTGAAAAGCAGATGGCACAATAACCTCATAACATAATTTTTCTGCCATAATAATATTTTTAGTTTCTTAATAAGACTGTTTACAAATCCACACAGTACGCCTTTTAACTAAGCAGAGATTCCATACTGTCCTCTTCTTAGAATCTTACAAAGATTCTAGAAATAACCCTTATTTTCTTATGGGATATAAAATTCAGTATATTCTTCAAAATTTCATTTTTAGGAATTATTTTACTGATTAGTTCTCTCTACCAGACTCAACTTCGCTTTTTGGTGGATTGACCTCAGGGTTTTAGGAAATGTTTGTTACTTCCATCAGATATTTTGCCCTTTCTGATTTTAAAGATTTCTGAAAATAAAAACTGGGATGCCTATTAGGAAGGGATCTTCAAGGGTTTTTTGTATACATTTTGAAAACCAGTATACTCTGTCTCACATTTTTTAGAGCAACATCTGTAAGATTTTTAATCATAGCTTTGAATAGTTGCGAAGAATGTAATTTCTGGCCTATTGGGAAATATTGGCATTTCAAGATAAAACCCTTACATCAGTCTCAGATGTATCCAGTGGACGGTAAATACCAGAGCAATTTGATATCCATTGTCACGTATTTAGAAATACACCAGCAAGTCCTTTAGTAGTCAGAACTGTTATATTTCATAGTTCCCTTTCCTCTGAAATAGTATTTCCGTTGCATATACCACATAGCATTTTATGTTAATATGTCTTTTTTTGCTTAAACTTTTTAGACTTTGTCATCCTGTCCTATTTCTCTGCCCCAAAACAAATACATATAAATTTTTGGTTTATTTCTAGTAACCCTAAGCTTTTAGGTGTAAATATTTTTCCTGTGGATTAAGTTATCATTATACCAGTAGATTGCAATTAATAATACTAGGAAACATGTTAAAATTTTGATAATTATTATTACAGTAAAATCTTTCTGGAAGTGCATCTCTGGATGAGACAGATTGGTGTGGGGTGGGGGCTGGTTTTGCTGTTTTGATTAGAGGGCACTCCCTAGTACTTTGGCTTGTGCCTTACTTATCCCCGGTAAGAGAAGAGTCATGCCTCTCTCGTAAAGTGAGGGAAGGACACATGGGAGAAGTGGAGAAGGAGAGCCAGATTGCTGCATCCACTCAGAATCAGAGCAGTTTTGGGAAAGAATGCATAGGGACTAGTAGATAGAGACTGATTTCCCCTAAGATCTGTCTATGCTCCATATACTGTAGGAAGTCTGTGTCCTTGGCAGATGGAACAGCTCCCCCGGAGATGCTTGAAGTCCTCTGAAGTGCAAGAGCAGCTCTTTTGGGGGCACAGGGTAGTGGTTAAGAATGTGGACTATCCTCATATCCACCTGGGTTTGGATCCCTTCATAGCTACCTCCTAGCTGTGCCTTATTTAATCCCTCTGTGCTTTAGTGTCCTTCTGTGAAGTAAGTTTAATCCTCACAGCAGCTACTTTGTAGGATGGTTGTAAAATGAAATACAAGAATGCATAGAAAGCTCTTAGTCCAGTGCTTCCTGCTTGATAAGACTTCACTTGATAATAGCTATTATCTAAGCTCTGAACTTACTAAGTGATTTGTGTTTGGAACACCAAAATTGAGAATATTATGTGCCTTAAGAATAGTGTTTGACCTCCAGAAGATGAGAAAAATTTACTTGGGGGATGTCTGAAAAAAACCCCAAGCACTCTTCTTGAAAAGTGACTGCAGAAGGGAAGGTTTCAGGTTGATGATATAATTAACCCATGCTAGAGATTGTCTGAAACCTTGAAACATTTGTCTTTATATCCTTCAGAGCCTTACTTTATAATCCATACCTTGTTTTTAAAATTGCTAATTTCTGGAAAGGATTACTGCTAGCTAACATAACATGTTCAATGGACATGTGCTGGTTTTGCTCCAGTATTACGGTGAAAATTTCCTTTTCCCCTCTTTTCTCTGAACTTCCTATCTGTAGTTCTTTATGACATAACTATAGGAAAATTAAGTCTCTTTCTCCCTATGATGTTCTGTTTCCGTGATATTCTGCTGCCTTACCTGGACACATAGATAAGGGTGAGAGAATATGGGCAGCTAGTGACTATCCTGTAATTGACTCTAACCGCAGATCTACTTGCTCTGATATTTTAGGTTCTGATATTTCTGGCTCACATTTTCCTCTTTTATCAAAGGAATAAACACATGAGTTTATTCCTCGATGATTTTTGTTATTTTTGTCCTTAAGGTGAGTCTCCATTGAAATCTGGTGTTTGAGGCGATGGCTCATTGCCAGCTCTCCTTCTTCACACCCTGATCATCATCTCTGCTGTTTTTTTAATTATCATATAACCTACCTTTATTGGCTTTTTAAAAGAGCTTTTTATTTTGAAACAATTATAGATGTATAGGAAATTGCAAAAATAATAACTACAAAGAGTCCTGACTACCATTTACCTACTTTTTCCCAGTGGTGACATCTATTGCAGCTATAACATAACCTCAAAACCAGGAAATGGACACTTGTGTGGACTCTTTATTAGACCACAGACCTTTTATTAAGGTTTCATCTTTTTTTTTTAGCCTTCGCACTTGGGCGTGCGTGTGTGTGTGTGTGTGTGCATGTAGTTCTGTCGAATTTTATCCCATGTATAAAATCAGGTAATCATCACCACACTTAAGGTACAGGATTGTTTCATTACCACAAAAGAGCTGCCTCGTGCTGCTTCTTCAGACTCACACTCACCTTCCAGCACTCCCCTTTAATCCCTGTCCTCTGGAAACCTTCTCTAGCTGTAGAGTGTTGTCACTTTGAGAATGTTATATAAGTGGAACATATTGTGTGTAGATTGACCTTTTTCACTAAGCACAAATGCCCTTGAGGTCCACCGAGGTTGTTCCTTTTTATTGTGGAGTAGTGTTGCAGTGGAAGTATATACCAGACTTTGCTTAGCCATTCACCCATTGAAGGAATTCCAGGTTATTTCCAGTATTTTACTATGATAAATAAGGCTACTATTACATTCGTATATAGGTTTTTGTGTGAACACAAGTTTTCGGTTCTCTTCCTCAAGGATTTTATACATTCTGTGTGAATGGTCTTGCCTGATTCATAGTACACAGTTTAAGAAGAATATTTCTAATCATTTGATTGGAGTTCAGTAATAAATGATGAGGTTCCTAAAGATTTCATTTAAATCAGACCATGTCATTGTAAGAATAAATGAGAATGGATTACAGAGAGTTTAATGTAATGCTTTTCATTCTTTTTTTAAGACTCCTCAGACAACAAAGAAAAGAAGACTTTCAGCCTTGAAGAAAAGTCTAAAATCTCCAAAAACCGTGTTCACTATATGAAATTCACAAAAGGTAAAATTAAGCATTTATTTGTTGCTGAAATCTCTGTTCACACTAGGTTTCTTAAAGCATTTTTAGCTTTCACCAACATTATTTCTTGTTTTATATGCAAAATGGACAAGTATGGATGGTCTGACTGGTTTGATCTAAAGCAGAGCTAAAGTTTCAACATTTATTGTGAATCACCTAGAGATCTGGTTAAAGTGCAGATTCATTAACTCTGAGGTGGGGCCCCACATTTGGCTTTAGACTATGTGCAAGTCCTTTGGCAAAGCTGGAAGCGGAAGTCAACATGCTACGTAAAGGAGAAAAGAGACTTTTATGTGGCTGGGTCAGAAAATACTTTTAATTTATTGCTCAACATTTTTAGTTACACCTCTTGTTTTTGAGAAATCTCACTCCCACGCTGAATCACATTATTCCACACCATTTGACATTGAATGGAGTGTTAACTTAGGCATTCCATGATCATTGCAAAGTAGCTTTAGAAAATGTATTTGAGAACTGGGTAGTGAGTGAGTCCAAAAGTCCTCCATCATCACCTCCCCCCTCCCTCCCCAGTACTGCCTCCAATTGCAAGTGCAATTGTCCTGTGTAACCACGAGGTGGCAGTCTTGTATTGGTAAGAAACAATTTAACTTAAAACTCCTCAACTTCCCCAAATATTTTCCCATAGAACAGTATTGTGCATTAAGTACACTTTCCAGGTACAAAAGCCTATTTATTACATACTGTACTTAAGTTATAAATGTGAATGTAATCCTGTTGTGATAGTCTAGTCACCATATGATCCTTCTTCCTATGGGAGATTGGATGTACCTTTCTACCTCGCTATACCAGGAAACACACATCCCTTTGCTTTAGTCTAGTTGGCATGTTTGGGAATTCCCTGACTCCTAGAACTTGCCTGAATAGTAGTGGGAGCTGGAATTCCCACTACTCTAACTATTAATGGTGGTTCTCATTTGGGGCCAGCACCCTGAAAGGTAGGTCTGGGGTTGGTTTAAGTGGGAGCCTGTGGCAGAGTTAGTGGGAGCCAAATAGCTTCGGGAATGTGTACAAGGAGAGATGGGCTTTTCCTGCTTCCCTCTCCCAGCCGGTGTGCTTTTTGTGTGGCTCTTCACGCTATCCCTTCTTCTTTCTCTCAAGCTAGAACCTTCTTTGTTGTTTTCCTGTATGGTTTCTGATCAGGGCTTCTCTCCACTCCTGACCTGCTGCAGAACAGAAGACAGCCCCTGTTGGTTCCTCAGTCTTTGTAAGGGGAGGCTAAATTTGCCACTTTATAACCAGTCTTTTTTCATTAGAACCTAAAGGAAAAAAGAGAGATATAGCAGAAAGATGCTGAGCAAATGAATGACATTAAAAGTGGCCTGTAACTTTTAGATGGTAGGGCAGCCTTTGAAGCTTTCACGTTAGCAAATCTAGTTTTCCTTTAGTACCTAACTGTATGCATGATTTCACCTGAAGCATTTGCTGCAGCCGGGATAAACCTCTGTAATCTACTTTAATCTGATGGATGCTGGGAGTATCTGCTTTCTATTTCTAGTTAAGCCACTCCCTTGCCAGGTGACCCTGTCAACCTGCTTGGTGTGTTGTGCCTTCACTTTCTCAGAATGAGGTTTGCTGATTTATTAGTATTAGCCTTGCCTGGAGAGAAGGGGGGCATTGGTATACAGGGAAGAGGGTTCAAGATATATTGTCAGGAAGGAAGCAGAGGAGATTGGGAAAAAATAGAGGAAAGGCAGTTTAGGGAGTGAGTGGAAAAGGTGGGAAAAAGGAGGCCGAAATCCAGGTAGTCAAGAAAATAATTATTTACTATCCATCCTAACAAGCCACGGTGAAAGCATATCTTAGAGTTCTTTCATTTAGTAAAAGAAGTCTTTCCTTGCAGAGCAGCTGTTGTCCCTGAATATGAATGATAAACCTTAAGTCATCTCTAAGGTGGATGATCTTAGATCACAGGGATCCTGGGTGCTGCATTACCCTCTCACACAGATCACTTTAGCACTTACTTTCTTCCAGACTCTGCTTCCACTGTTACAACATGAGGAAAGATTTTTAAGTCATTATTGAGTTCTAAAGTAGGTCACATTTTACGACTTTTCAGAAATGACCCATTTTATGGAACTTTTGATTGTTCAACATAATGGATGATAAGTATTTTAGCTCGCGGGTAGGCTCCTAGTGAACATAACTAATTCGCTTATTCAATGAGGATGATTCATGCTGTATCATGTGGTCCAGAGACTAAAACATGGGAAGAGGGCATTTTACATAGCTTGGTGGAAAGAGTGAAGACAAAAATTAGACTTTAGTGGGATTCCAGCAGCAGGCAGCATTGTAAAATTTGCTACCGCCTAAATATTGGCCATATCATTTTCGTTGAGATACATACTTACTCCTTCCTCGAGTCCCAAATTTATGATTTTAATTTGAAACAATTAATATTATCTAATTCAAAAGTTCATATCATCAATGTTTGTTTAAAAGCCTAACTTCCATGCAGTTTCTTTTTTTTTTTTTTAAAGATTTTATTTATTTGACAGAGAGAGACACAGCGAGAGAGGGAACACGAGCAGGGGGAGGGGCAGAGGGAGGGGCAGAGGGAGAAGCAGGCTCCCCGCTGAGCCGGGAGCCCGATGTGGGGCTCGATCCCAGGACCCTGGAATCATGACCTGAGCCGAAGGCAGACGCTTAACGACTGAGCTACCCAGGTGCCCCGCATGCAGTTTCTTTCAATTCAAAAAATGTTTGTCGAGTCCCATCTGTGGAGAGGAAAAACAGGGAAAAGAGCAAACTCCACAAAACCATTTTTAAAGCTTTTCACATACACAGTGCGAAGTTACCAAGAGAGCATTGCTTTCTTCCTCCCGTCAGTTGTGCAGTGAGTAGAAGAACGGGGCATGAACTGTGGTTGCGCAGCTTCAGCCTGGTAATCTTACTCAGACTTTTTACTCCCGTGACCATTTGCAGTATTTGCTTCTTAAATGAGAAAACTGCCTGGACAACACACCTGGTGGCTGGCTCGTTAGGCTGGACCCACAGACTGTGGTCCTCCTAGCTCGCTCCCCTCCTCCCCACAGCGGGGCAGCGGACTCTGCTAGTGATGGACTCTGCTAGTGGTGGGCAGCAGGTTTCCTCTTCGGATTCTTTTGCCACTTAAATCTAAAATAGCGCTGCAGGCTGGGAAAAAATTCTGGCTCTTACTGGTTGTGCAGGTGTCACTTACTTCATCCCCCACTCCGAGTCCTGCAGCTTGCCTGGTGCTCCGACGTCACCCTTTCAGTGCCACCGCCGTAATCTCTTGGTCCCAGCTTATTATCCGTCCCATATATTTTCATTAAAAACAAAAATCAAAATACAATATGTGTTGTATCCTTCTTGACTGGGGGATGCAAATGAATTTTCCAAGCAAGTGAAGCTAACTACATACACCTGAATTGTTTTGTTTTGTTTTTAATTTTAACAAACGTATTTCTCCTACTGTGCTTTTCCTGGCCGTCACCCTTTTACTCTGAGTAGAAAGCTCAGGTTTTTTTCAGGCTTTGTTCTAATACGGTGCTATAATACCATGTTTTCCCTTTTACTTCCCTTAAAGTAAGAGGCTCCAAATCTCTGTGCTTCTAAAATTCTGACACTTATTTTTTGTAGTTTCATTTGCTTCCCATGTGGACTTCTTGGTGTCGTGGGTGTACCTGGCCATAGTGGTAGCCTCCCTCCCTTCCTTTGCCACTCTGATGGACTGGATAATCATGACTCTTAGAAAAACAGCTAAAAAGATCATAAAGAACTCTTCTCTAAAGTACCTGCTCATCCTTTTATGGACATAGTTACATCAGCTTGGCTGCTGGAAACCGTTGTCCCTGGTTCTCAAAATGTTATGGCCAAATTAAGACTAACAGATGAACCAAACCCAGACAGATAATATACAATTCTTATTCTGTTGAGTTTTTGATTGTCATTTTCCCTAACATCTAAGTTTATCAACAGTATTTGCTGTTAGTTGACCTTAATTCAGAACTGAGACCAGTAAGCTTTCAAGCTCAGTTTTAATAAATATATGTTTTATTCAAAAGTGGCCATGATTTTATAACATTTATAAGCTATTCAACCAGGACCATTAACTAACAACTGTTTCAGTATCACTTCCATCTTCATATTTTGATCTATCTTTAAGTTCCTTCCCGTTGGTCTCTGACTCTTAATTCTTCTCTGTGTTTTGTTTTCCAGATCAAATCCAGAGCAAGGCCTGTAACAGTCCTGGTTTCTACACTTACTTAAGTGAACTTTGCTAAAGGATAAAAATTTCTGATACAAGAATCTATCACCAAAACCTTAGAAACACTTGCACCTTCATTGGTACAGCTTACTCTCTCTCCCAGCTTGGCAGTTTTTCCTGTGATGTTTAGATTTGTTTTCAATCTCTGCGTGTTCATAGTTTGACATCTGTTCTAGAATTGCGACCTTGCATGTACCCTCCCTTCCTTAATCCCTGAAGCATTCCTTTTGATTGAGTTCCTGTAAAAGAGATCTTAATTTGCATTTCTTTGAGGGTATCTGTTCCATTCCAGAAGAAGGGAAAGATGGCCGATACATATTTTGAACTAAGTAGAACTCCTTTTTCTGAAATAGAAACTGCCATCCTGAATGTGCTCGCAGTGCAAAATGGGTTATGCCGATGACAAAGCTAAGAATAGATCTCTAGACCTCCTGAGGGTTTGTCCACTTCTCCCCACCGTGACCAATTTTATTCCCCACTTTTCAGGTTCATTTTCTGAGTTCCTGTCTGGGATATGTTTCCTTTTGTTCCTAAGGAGATTTCATTTGGGGTCTTTTGTCTGGGTCTGCTTAATAATCAGAACCAGGAAAGCTTTGTTTCTAGCTCAGGGAGAAAGGAGAGAGTAGCACAGAGCCACAGAGGAGCATGTCCTTCCTGATAGGAACAGGTCGTACTGACTGGACCATTGAATCTAGTACTGCTGCCTATGAAACTGGTTATAGTGCCTGGCTTCGCATTAAATCGAAGGGTGTTTTGTTTTTTAATTTCATGGAGTCACTGAGCAATATCATATTTGAATGCCCCAGTGATAGTCAGTGAACTAGAACCTTCTGGGTCATGCCATTACTTTGCCAAGTCAGTTTGCTACAGGAAACTAAGAAGACAAGTGAGTCTGTGACATTGGAACTCAGGCTTCCTACTCAAAGCACAAATTCCTGTGTCTGACCCAGAGCCTCACTCCCCCAGAGCCTCAAGGCTTTACATGTAGCAGTTACTTTTTAAAATGCATTTACCATGTAGTTGACAAATGGGAATAGATTTGGTTGACTGCTCACGGAGTATTATTGATAGAAGTGGAAATTCCAAAGAAGTGAATTTTAAATTAGTTGGTTTGTGGGTTTGAAATTAAGTGAAAGGGTTTAGTGTTTTTAATAAGAATCGTGGATCCTTTGGACAGTGCTTTGCCAGAAGCCATTTAATTTCCTGCTCTTATTCTGTATCCCTTTACTTAAAGATGGTAGAGCTATAACAGTAAAGAACATTTTAAAGTGAAAAATCTGAAATCCTTTCATCCTAATATAGTCATTTTTATTTGCATATATTCTTTTAAAACTTTCATTCATTCAGTAATTATTGAGCTCCTATGTGTCAAATACAGTGTGCCCTCATTCATGTGTGTTTAAAAGCTGTGTAGCTAGCAGCATTTTTGTGTGCATTTCATAATCCTAATAACTCACATCTCCTTGAAATAAATAATATCTCTTTTATAAATGGGGAACTCAGAGACCCAGAAATCATGCCTTGAAGGCATACCAGTAGAAGAGCTCGCTTTCAAATTCAGTTTTCCTCTCATGCTACATGCTCTTGATTGTTTCTACGATTGAGGGAATGTCAAGGGTTCTGGTTCTAAAACACTTACTTGATTTTTAAGTGATTTTGAATTTAATTAATTTTGTTAATTAAGGAGTTGTAGTCTGTGAAGGGGAGACAGAATGCCAGTAGTTTACAAAATTGTTTCTTTTCCAAAACCCATTTTGCTTTCAGGATTGTCATAGTTTATATTCGTGTTCCTTATTTTAGAAAGAATGGTATTACTGAAAAGCACCATGTTGTTTTCCTAGGGAAGGATCTATCATCTCGGAGCAAAACAGATCTTGACTGCATTTTTGGGAAAAGACAGAGTAAGAAGACTCCTGAGGTATTAAGCCACATACAGTTGATAACTGTTCTGTTTCAACACTGCTTGATTTTCTGCTGTGTGTAGAACTATTTATATCTATTACTGGTAGTACTCTTTAGATAAACCTATCAAAAGAAAAATTTGAGAGGCTTCATACAAAGGGTAAATGTGATCCTCTTAATAATAATAGTTGGAAGATAATATGCTTTACAAGGATTCTGAAAAAGGATATGTGTTACCTGCTTTTTCCCTTGTGTGAGGACTAGAATAAACTCGGGGAGGAATGTCTTTGCTGGTATATTCAAGGGTGAAGATGTCTCTCCCATGCCAGGAGAGAGGGTGGTTGCTTGCAGTGGTTCTGTTTGCTCTGCTTGGACTGCATAATTGTTTGGGATATGGCTTGGGGAGAAACAGTATCATGTATGTAGTCCTGTTCTGGTCTATTGCCTTTTTTTTAAAAAAAGATTTTATTTATTTGAGAGAGAGAGAATGAGAGAGAGAGAACACCTGAGAGGGGATAGGGTCAGAGGACGAAGCAGACTCTGTGCCGAGCAGGAAGCCCGATGCGGGACTCTATCCAGGGACTCCAGAATCATGACCTGAGCCGAAGGCAGTTGCTTAACCAACTGAGCCACCCAGGCGCCCCGCCTTTTTTTTTTTTTTTTTTTAAAGATTTTATTTATTTATTTGACAGAGAGAGAGAGCTAGCAAGGGCAGGAACACAAGCAGGGGGAGTGGGAGCCACCCAGTTGCCCCCTGGTCTATTGCCTTTTAAAAGCATTTTTAAAGTGTTGGATCATCACCGAGAATCTGTAAGGGATTTGGATGTAGTATTTCTTCCATTGTACAATGTTTGTTTGTTTCAAAACTAGATAGGAATAGGGTGACTAAACTGTACCCTAAATGGGATGAGTCCATAATTCAGAGTCTTCATTAGTTAATTGGGCTGTGTAATACAGCACAAGTTTTTTGTGCCATTTCCAAGGTAAGAGACGGTCCTGGATTTGGATGTCAAAATCGAAGTTTTGAAATACGGGTTTCTGGAGATGAAGGGATAAAAATTTGAAATTGGTGTTGTCTCCAAAAATCTGCAGTATGGTTACTATAGCTATTACTCAACTAATCTGATATGTCCGCCTTATAGTTTCTTTATTGGCTTCTAACCAAGGCCCTTGGTGACGACAGAACAAAAAAGACTTGTGTCATTTCTTTCTTTTTTTTTTTTTTTAATTTTATTTATTTATTTGCGAGAGAGAATGAGATAGAGAGAGCATGAGAGGGGGGAGGGTCAGAGGGAGAAGCAGACTCCCTGCTGAGCAGGGAGCCCGATGTGGGACTCAATCCCAGGACTCCGGGATCATGACCTGAGCCGAAGGCAGTCACTTAACCAACTGAGCCACCCAGGCGCCCATGTCATTTATTTCTGATATTTCTCCAGACCTACAGGAATTTTTCCAGGGCAGTAGCTATTTGCTACTTAATATTATTTTCAAAGACTCTAGTTATTAGAAATTGTGCTGGGTGATTTCCTCTGCGGGTTGGGAATAAATTCCGTCTTTCAGCACTTTTCTGCCCCTATACCTTTAGTGGTGAGGACTGAGAAAGCAGGCCTGGGCCCCATTGGCTCGCCGAGGGGTGGTGTCTGTAGGTCTCTGCTGAGTCATGTCAAAAGCAGGTGGGTAATTAGGGAGGAGGTGTTCTGACATCACTGGAGGCTTCATTCACAGGGAGGCTGTTGGAAAGAGCTGAGGATCATCAGACAACCCTACTTCTGGTCACACCTCTCCCCCTCAGTGGTTACTGTGTGACCTGGATTGGATCAGGCTGTCTGCCTTGTTCACTCAAGACTTTGCATCTGCCTTACCTGAGTCTTTCTCTTGAGTCACTCTCCTTTGATCATCCTCAGTAATTTAGTATCCTCACGGATGTTCTATCACCTCCTCTCTGCCCTAGCTACCCCCTCCCGTGCCCACACCTTGAGCCTTTGCAGCAGCCCCATGGTCCACCCCGGATCTCTGACGGTAACCTTTCTGTTCCAGCTCTCTCAATCTTGCATTCCCACTGTGCTGACATTTCCAAATCCTTGTTTTCTTGGGTTACTTGACCCTCTTTTTTCTCCCTGCTGCCAGCCCCTACTGCCTGCGACCCTGGTCTTTTCTAGTACTCTCTTTGAAATGTTACAGTTGAACAGATGAGGGAAGGAAGTATTATTTATGGGCTTTTGCTAGAACTTTAAAAGAACGTACGTGGTAAGCACAGGAAAGCCTTTTGTTACAGGAGATTAGAGGTTTCTAATCCTCTGACAGATGTCTGTCAGTAAGTCCTGATGTTAGGTGCCATGAAGTTTTTCAACACTGTCCAGCACGACTTGGCTTTTTGGTGGTGTAGTCATTCATGACCATGTTGATGTGAGCCTGTATTTGAGGGACTAGCCCAGGGAAAATCTATTTCAGTGCAGTTGGTGTGGAGAAGACCAGCCTTGATATAATACTGTGTTTTTTTTAAGATTTATACCCAAGCACTTCTTAATCTCTCATTCAAGCTTAAGGTTTTCCTCTTGTTGATGCATTTAAAATCCTGATTGTTTGGTGAGGCAATATTATACCAGGGTGCAGTACTTGGTCTGTAGCAGTGATTCTCAACAGCATTTGCACGCAGTCACTTAAGGAGCTTTAAGAAAAGTGCTAATGCCAGGGTGCCAACCCAGCCCAGTTAAATCCAAATTTGGGGTCAGGGTCCAGGAATAGGTATTAAAAGAGAAGAAGAAAAATAGTTTTAATTTAAAATAAAGCCTACCCAGCCACCTCGGGTGATTATTAGGAGTAAGGATTGAGAGCCACTAGTAGACGCCCTGATAATGTAACATTTGGGAGAGCTGCTGGCTTTAGGGTGACAAATACTGCCTAGGACAGGGCTTCTGAAATCTTAACACGTACACAGATCATCTAGGAATTGTGTTAAGCTGCAGATTCCAGTTCTTGAGGGGAGGGTGGGGCGCAGGAGCCTGCATTTCTGAGAAGCTCCGAGGTGATGCTGATGCTGCTGCCCCACTGCTGCGAGCACCACATGAGTCGACGGGGCCTCTTTCTAATAGTCTAGTACACGGCTCCATGTGCGTAGAAGACGGAGGGCAGTGGAACCTAATCACATGGTCAGACACCAAGTAAAAAGTATTTCTGTAAGGCAGAGTTGCTTTGTTTTTTTAGTTTTTATTTAAATGCCAGTTAGCATGCAGTGGAATAGTGGTTTGGTGTAAAATATAGTGATTTAACACTTCAGTACAGCACCTGGTGCTTACCACAAAGGCACTCCTTGATCCCCATCACCTATTTCACCCATCCACCCGCAGCCCCCTGCCCTGGTGCCCATCAGTTTGTTCTCTGTAGCTGCGAGTCTGTTTCCTGGTTTGCTTCTCTCTGTAAAGCAGAGTCACCTTTAAATTTAAGTTTTAGATACATGTGGATTTTCACATACAGAGTTAGCTCTCGTTGAGGCACACCTGTACCTTCCCTGAATAAATTGTTGCTATGCTACCTTACTGTATGAGTTACAACAGTCCTTAAAGCCAAGGGCAGGAGGCCTTTGACCAGATTTGTTTGAAAATACAACCTCTTTTGGCTTCTGTTTGCAGCTGGAAGGAGTATCACTTCGTTTTTACTCCCCTGGCCCCCGTAGCAACATTGGCCCGAGTTTATATTTGGCATTGACAAGGTAAAGGTGCTGCTGAAGGTCAAATACCTGAAGAATCCTAGACATCATGGCAGTATCGAATGTTAACGTAGTAATTCTCTGTGGGTGCTCTGGATAAGGTGCTGATATTGCTCTTGTCTTTGCATCTAGATTTAAAGAACCTTGGGCATTGGCCACATCTAGCTTGGGCAACATCCTACCTCTCGAGTTAAAGCCGAACTTACTAATTTCTACAACCCCTGACTGTTGTAAAGATAGAAATGAAACCACAACCTTATGAAGTATCTGTGTGCCAGACACAGTGCTGGCCACTTAGGATAGTATTTCACTTATCCCCAAAACAGTCCTGTGAAGTAGGCATTATCATCACCTTTTTAGCAATGAGGGAACCAACACTCAGAAGGATTTGTTACGAAGGTCCAAGGTGGCACGAATGGGATTTAAACCCAGGTCCCTCTGACTCCAGAGTCATTGTCCTTTCCCCTGTACCATAATATTAATTAACTTTTTTGCAAATAAATAAATATCTACATTTAAATGATTTTAGTTATGCCTTAGAAGTTTTCTTTGATATTTTGTCAAAGGCATAAGTAGTTAATACTTTATCATAATTTTGTGGGAAACTGGTTGACTTTTACTCTCATTTTGCTGAAAATAGTGGTTCAACTTTCAAAACGTCACTACCTTGCCTTCAGGCAGAACTGAACTCTGATGGGTTCAGAAGCATATTACAAATGCCTGGGCCAGCTGTGGGAACAATTTTATTTTGCTGTTGGAACTGAATTAAGAAAGACCTAGTTTGAGTTTCTGGAGCATAGATGCTGTGTTATGTGTGCATTTTCTGGTCTCTCATATAAATTGAAGAATCTGAATACATTTATATCCAAGAAATAGCTGCAACCCTTGATTAATAACAGATTTTTTTTTTTTGGCCTTTTTTTGCTTTAAAACTTTTTTTTTTTTAAGATTTTATTTATTTGACAGAGAGAGAACACAAACAGAGGGAGAAGTGGGCAGAGGGAGAGGGAGAAGCAGGCTCCCCATAGAGTAGGGAGCCCGGTGCGGGGCTCCATCCCAGGACCCTGGGACCACGACCTGAGCCAGAGGCAGACGCTTAACCAACTGAGCCACCCAGGCGCCCCTAAAACTTTTTATTTTGAAGTAATTACAGATGAAAAGGAAGTGGCAAAGAGTTCAGAGGGGTTCCTTGTACCCTTCACCCAGTTATCCCAGTGGTTACATCTTACATAACTGTCACACGATATGAAAACCGGGAAATTGACATTGGTACAATCCATGTGTGTAGTTCTGTGCCACTTTATGACATT